GTTATATTTATCTTAAAAATATTTAATATATTATATTTTTAGTATTTAAACTAGTAAATAATATTAATTAATTTAACTATAAATTAGTAAGTTAGTTCTTTTAGAATATAAATAGTAATTAAAAAATAAATAAAAATAAATAATAAGAAAAAATTAAAATATAATTATTTTAGATCTTATAGTAAAGAATAAAACTTATATTAAATATAAAGAAATTTATTTAAAAAGGGAATAAAAAGTTTTATATATATAACTTTATTTAATTTATTTAATAGTACTTAACTTTTAATTATTTTAAGTATACTTAATTTAAAGATTACTTAGTACTCTTAGTATTTAAGTATATTTAAATACTTTAGCTATCCTTTCCTCTTTTTAATTATTCTTCTTTATAGCCTAGTATAGTTATAGTATTTTATTCTATAGTATTTGCCTAGTTATACTTATTATATAAGGTTGTAATAGTATATTATTATCTTTAATATTATTACTATTATTATTATTATCTTTATTATTAAAATAAAGACTTTTTTTATAAAATAATTAAGAACCTTAATTATAGAATAATTAAGAACTTTAATTATAAAATGACTAAGGACCTTAATATAAATAAAATAAGTTTAGAAAGAATATATAATATATTAAAACTATTACTTATTAGAATTATAAATATATATATAAATTATAATTAAATATAAGTTAAAGTAATTTCTACTTAGAGTAATTTCTACTTTAAGTAATTAATAATTAGTAATTAATAGTAATTAATAATTAGTGATTTTTACTCTAAGTAATAAGTAATTATAATAAGGATATTACTTTTCTTCTTTCTTATTAATATCTTATTATAGGTATAGCTTTAGAGGAGGTCTTAGCGTAAGTAAATATTATATATAGTTCTAGATAAAATCTTTATAATTATTATATTAATTATTATTAATAGAAGAATCTTCCTTTTATTATTATACCTCTAGTATACTACTATTATATTATAGAAATTATATTAATAATTAATATATATATTATAGTAATTACTTAATCTTATATATTTAAAATTATATTTTAATCTATTTTAAATTATATAAAATAAGAAGAAGTTAAAACTATTAAAACTTAAATATATAATATAAAATAATATTAAAAAGAACTTTTATTAAATTCTAATAGATTTTTAATAAGGACTTAATTTTATAAATATTTAAGAGAAACTATAAAAAAAGAATTAACTTTTATTATAAGAAAGTAAAAATTCTTATTATTTAATATAAATTCCTTTATTTCTAATAATAAGTTTTTAAAATATTTCCTTACTCCTTAGTAAGCTAGATTACTAATCTATACTTCTATATATATAGTAAATTATAGTATAATATAGAGTTTATAATTTATAAGAAAATACACTAGGTATAAGTCTTAATAAGTAATATATATAATATAGTTAATTAATAATAAATTAATTTAAAGCTATCTAAGGAGCTATAATAGAAGTAAAGCTTTATACTAAGCTAGATAAGGCTAAGTAAAGCCTAATTAGAATATTCCTATCCTACTCTTATTATAATCTATAATAATATACTATTAAAATAATAAAAAATAATATACTTATTATTAATATAGCCTTATTTTTATTTATTTATATTCTAGCTCTTAAAAGAAACTATCTTAGCTTAATTTTCTTAAGATTTAATTAAGTTTTAATTAAGATTTAATTATATTATATTAGGAAAAAAGCCTATTTATTAGAGGCTATAACAATAGTAAGATTAAGTTAATTAAATTAAAGATTATATTAAAGGAATATTGTTACGGATCAGAATGCAAGCAGGATAAAATATCCCGATTAGGCTTAGCTTAGCCCTACCCGGCTTAGCATAAGGCTCTATTTCTACTACATTTCCTAAATAGCTTTATAATAAATTTATTATCAACCAACTATATTGTATATATTGCTTATTAAGGTTTCTATGCACTGCGTTTCCTTATAAATAGTAGTAATACTAAAAAGATTAGGTGTCGTTATATCCTACTGAATATTAGTGTCCAGAAATAGCCCTAGTACCTCAGCTAAATAACTACTAAAAACTATTATTATCTTTAAAATATTATTATTAAAATCTTCGACAATCCTTTAGCTAGATATCGTTATGCTACTATGTCTTCTTCTATTACTTGTAAACTTATCTTGCGTTAAGCTCGTTTTAAGACTTTTAACCTTTAGCCTTAAAATAGCTTAATTACAGCAGCTAATATAATAAAAGCAAGCTTTATTCGGATATATATATATGCTAACAGTATTAACGTTATATGCAACGACAGCACTATTTATTTATTATATAGTTTACATTAATATAATTGGTCGTAGGACCTAGCTATTTACTATAAAAAGATATACCTAAACTGCTTATTTGTTAAAGTTTATTTTATACTAATTACTCTTCTAGCTATATTATTAAAACTAATATATGCAGAAACTGTAGCTTCTATTACGTTATTACCTCCGGCTATACTTCTTCTAGCTTATCAAAATTAAAATCAAGCTCTTATATATTTAGCTTTTAAACCGACGTTATACTTTACGATTTCTAACCTTTACGTACGCTATGCTCCTTTTAAAACAATTAAGCCCCTATAGCTAATTATTTTACCTACCCTTACGTAGAACGACTTTAAAAAACAGTTTGTAAATAAGCCTCTAACTCCTCCAATTACGGCTTAAAAAGACAAGCTAAAAAACCAACTAATTAAAAAGCTTAAATACAATACAAAGAAAAAGTAGAAACAGGCTCCCTGTTTAAAAAAGGCTTTTAAGGCTAAAACCTATATAAAATGGCTTAAGAAATAAGCTGTTCCTATTCCTATTCCTGTCTACGGTTTATGCGGCTTGGAGCTTATCGATAAGTTTTAAGCTATTTCTAAACGATTTAAGCTACAGTTTTTTAGCTATACAGTTATTTTGCGATCTTGCAATTTTCAAATTCTTTGTTAAAAACGACAATTTCCTACCTATGATTTTCAATATTCTTTTCAACTAATTAGCTTCTGTTTGCTGTCGCTTTTTCTATGCGTTTAAACGCCCCTCTAACGTAATCCTCAGCCTAATTAGCTTAAACCTTACTGTCGCTGCAGCCTTTAAGAAAAAGTTCCTTAATATAATATAAGTAGTTTTTGCCCAAAACTTAAGCAAATTAAACAAGGATAATTTCTTTTAAAAGCTAGGATACAAATAGACAAAGATAAGGCTATATTTATAACGAGGACGTTATTTTTTGTTGTTTTTAGTAGCATATTGTTACGGATCAGAATATAAGCAGGATAGGATATCCCGATTAAGCTTAGCTCAGCCTTACCCGGCTTGGTATAAGGCCCTACTTCCACCACATTTCCTAGATAGCTTTATAATAAATCTATTATTAACCAACTACATTGCATATATTGCTTATTAAGGTCTCTATGTACTGCGTTTCCTTACAAATATATTAATATATAGAAGAAGTAATAATAAGTTGAAACTAATTAGTTAAAAAGAAATATAAAAAGTTAAAGGTAGGAAATTATTATTTTAATTAAATTTAAAAGTTATAAAATTATAAAATAATTATATAATTAAAAAACTATAGTTTAAATTATTTAGAATTAACTTAAAAGCTATTAATAAGCTCTAAGCTATATAAAGTATAGAAAGCTAGTTAATTCTAAGCTTAATAAGCTAGTATATTAAAAAAACTATATTAATTATAATATAAATTATTTAAGTAAGGATATAGTCTATAGAAGTATAATAGTAATAAAAAATTAGCTTATAAAGATATATAAATAAGGCCTATTAATATATATACTATAAAGGCTTATATATATAATATAAAGGAGGCTATTTTAAGTATTTACTTATATTATCTTATAAAATATCTTTTAATTAATTAGAAACTATAGTTTTATAAAATATAAGTATAGCTTATTTCTCTATCTTCTTTATATATATTTTAGCTTAGGAGGATATATTTTAAAGTAATAAGCTTAGAGGAGAAGTAGAAATAATTATAGCTATTTTCTCTATCTCTTTTATATATATTTAACTTTAAGAATCTAGCTTTTATAATATATATTTTTAATTAGTTAAAGCTATTCTAATAATACTACTTTTATTATTTCTATTATTTATATAATCTAGGCCTAGTTTAAAGGTTTTAATTATCTTAGTTAATAACTATTAATAGTAAGGTTTAAGTAAAAGAAAAAGTAGGATATAGTTTAGCTAAAGTTGCTTATTTCTTTATAATTTTTTAGTTAACTAACTTGATAAAAAGGTTAGAAAATAGATAATTTTTAATAGAATCTAGCTAAATATTAAGGTTATTAAAAAATAGAATTCTAATATTTAAATTAATTAATAATACTTAATCTTAAAGTATTACTACTATTTATAAGGAAATATACTAGGTACAAGCCTTAATAAGTAATAGATATAATATAGTTAGTTAATAATAAATTAATTTAAAGTTATTTAAAGAGTTATAATAGAAGTAAAGCCTTATACTAAGCTAGGTAGGGCTAAGCTAAGCCTAATTAAGATATCCCTATCCTACTCTTATTAAAATCTATAATATAATTTTATAGTTTTATAACTAATAATTTAATATTATTTATATTATTTAAAAAATTAATTAATAAGATTTTTTTTTAAAAATAAAAACTTTTTATAACTTAATTTAATAATAAGTTTTACTTTCTCTTAAAGCTTTAAACTTAATAAAGTAAGCCTAATAATAAAGTACTTAATAGGGTATCTTTACTAAGTTATAAAAGTTTTAATTTTCTAGCTTTCTTAGTACTATTATAGTAATAGCTTTTAATAAAACTATTTTAATATATTATAGTAGTAGATTAAGGCTATTTTAAGACTATATATTTATACTTTTATCTCTTAATAGTAAAATTTATTAAGATTAACTACTATTAGTTCTAGAGAGTAAGATAACCTATACTATTATTCCATTTTAGAAATGTCTTCCACAAAAATCAAACCTATGTTTAAGTTTCTTCCCCAAGGTGCACTCATCCAAGACTTCGAAGTTGCAGGCTGCAACATTGTTCTTGGGTTTCCCGAGGCAGCGCTATACCAGACTCCAAGTAGTTCTTATTTCGGTGAGACCATCGGACGAACAAATAACAGGATAGCGAATGCCAGTATCGCTGATGTGAATGGCAAGACCTATCAGCTTGCAAGAAACGATGGGCATCATTCCCTGCATGGTGGTTCAGAGGGATGGGGAAAGAAACATTTCAAAGGGCCATTGTTTGTCACGAGGCACGGTCACGAGAGCATCCACTTCTCTTTAGTAAGTCCGAATGGCGACGAAGGATACCCAGGCACCGTAGAATGTCGAGTGTGGTACACGTGTGGCGCCGAGAACGGCCAGACCATTCTCGACATCGAATACGAGGTTGAATTAACAGGAGACGAGTGTGGTGAGACCATTGTCGGTCTAACCAATCATAGGTCAGTCACCTGTCCTGATTGACGAAAGGTTCTACTTGACGGTCGAGCAAGCTATTTCAATCTAGACCCAAATGCGCCGACAATCGCAGGGACCCAAGTCACATTGACCACAGACCAGCGCCTTGATACTGATGCAGACGGCATACCCACTGGCGACATATCAAAGCATCCCGCAGTCCCTTCAAGTGGCATACCCTTTACGCTTGGGAAGGACAGTCCATCGTTCGACGACTGCTTTGTAATGGATAAGCCTTCACAGTCTTTCTTGCTCGATACACGTCTGCAGTCGTTACGCAAATTGGTTTCATTGTATCAGCCCAATACTGACTTGCACTTGGAGGTATTGTCCACAGAGCCAGCTTTTCAGCTCTATACAGGGGAAGGGATCAACGTTCCTGCACTATCAACAGCTGATGGGCAACTCGTGTCACCAAAAGGCCCGAGGGCAGGCGTAGCAATAGAGCCAGGTCGATATGTTGATGCACAGAGGAAAGAATGGCGAAGTCAATGTCTGCTCGAAAAAGGGAGACTTTGGGGTGCTAGGCACAAGTACAGGGCGTGGAAGGGACCACTCGGATCGGTGGACTGAAGATGGCTTTTAGAGTTGCTTTTGTTCTTAGTAGGCAACATAAAACTGACAGGAATGGAAAACATTGGTCTGGAATTGGGGAATTGTATCAAGCGTCTGCCAGGGTCGGGTCAAGAGATAGAAGGGGGGTTTTAGCTGTTCGAGCAAATGGGCTACCGTAGAAGAGATGACTCCCTACGGCCAGTCCGGAAAGTTCTAGTGCTAGGGTAAAATACGATGCTCTACTAGCTTACAGTTGCCTGCATTCAGCGGAAATAACAGCTCCCGATGTTCTTGTAGAACCACGTCTGCAATTTAAGAAAGGAAATGCTGCTTGTACCCTGATGATAAGCATTCGTAGACGAAGGATTATGGTACTAACATGAATCAATAGCAAAGCTATCCTCACAAATGGTTCGGGTTGTCTCTATGCTACTGATTACTCACGATAATGCTCTGTTCAAAGGCCGTTAGGTAGGTCAAAGCTTGACTAGCTTCACATTCTACATTATCCATGGATGTGTTGTTGAGAGTGAGTCAGCATGCGGTCAAAAGAGTCGCCGAAAGAGTCCAAGAGAAGCCATGTAAGGTAATACATTTCGACGTCTGTCTTGGCTCACTTGCGAGATGTACTGAGGTTTGCAAAAGGCTCAGGACAGTCGACCGACAGGGAACTTGTCAAACTGTTCTCTATGCTCTGCAAAGCGAGTCTTTATCTTTAATGCGACCTTCTTATTATTCCACCCTTTGCGACGTGATGCTCGAGAGCCGAGACGGAGATTCTTTCACGCTGAAATCGCCTTGCTTCAATGGATCGTCCAATATACTTCAAGTTGCATTGTTCCTTCCGCCTGCAATTCAGCGACTTGATGATTCCTTGTCTCAAAAGCAATTTGGCGAGAATCGCAAGGATAACAAGGCCTAATGGCCCTTTCAATGTCATTCTCCACATCTTGAATATGCTTGTAATCATTAGTTACGGCTGTAATTTGATTGGCTTTGATTACGAGGATCTGACTTCTTTGACTACATCTCGGTCTTATCAAGACTTGATGGCCATGGCCTACGCGGGTTCAAGGTTGAGCATTTGGGGAGACCAATCTCATTAGCTCAGTATATCCCGCGGTACATTGATATGCCGTGCGGTCTCTGGACCTCTGTATAGCTTTATGCCTTACTAATGGGAAAGATGGGCCGTCGGAGCTGCACAACCTCAAGAAGCTCTTATGAGCGCGCTACGCAGGAGAGGCTTGCAGCCGCTCTCAGGCGCTGTCTTTTGCTAATTTCTGTGGCGGGCGTTCTGTGCAACATGTGCAGCAACCGACTGATTAGTTGCATAAGGATCAAATCTATCATTCTACAAGATTCGAGACTTTCATCTAATTCGATGCCGTTCCCATTTCAAGGAGTCGATCGTCCTGAGACCACCTTCTAACGCTCTTTGTGTTGCAGGTCGAGTAGGCTTTACTTTCTCTTCTTCCAGTAGGCCTTGAATTACCACTCATGGAGGCACATAATTTAAGAAATGGCTTCGATTATTCTTGGTAGCCTAAATCTTCGAGCTCCTTTCTGACAGCTTCTTCGGTGTCCATCTTCTTGATTTGCGTCCCCTCTAGTATTTCACCACCAGCTCTCCTCATCCTCAAATCATCGATCGCTCTCAACTTCTTGAGCAACGCCCTGATTTTTTTGTCATGGAGGCTGACACCTCCACCATCTCCTGCACCTGGGATTGCCGTAGTGCCTCCTCTCGGCGTTGCAATAACAGTGTCTTTGACCTCTCCTGCACGTGGCAACCGTTTGTGAGATCCAAGATCTGCTTGTCGCGGCTGTGGGCTGGTCTCTCCGATAGCTAAGGGTTTTGGTTTCTGACTTCCGTTTGCTCCGTCTGCTCTGGGTGGCCGACTTGGAGATGCGTGAGCAATCGTCGTTTCATCTGTTGAACTCGCAATGTTGACACATTCGGGCGTGGGGTCTTTGGCCTTCCTTGCATCTCTTTTTTTCTTGTTTTTTGCCGCCGCTTTTGAGAGATGCTCGTCGTCTACCGAAACATTTCGCGTGAATTGTCCATCTTTATCAACCGGATCCGCGCCGGGAACTTCCCGCCTTCTGGCCTTTCCAAAATTGCTCATGCTGATACCCTGCGACAAACTTCCATTGCTAACATAAGCCGCACCACCCTCGTCCTCCCTCTTGAAGGCAAGGGGGGTGATCTGGCCTCTAGCTCCTGGTGGTCGGTAGGCACCCGCCGCTTTGACTGGGGTTCTCACTTTACCCATATACTCAAGTACAGATGTATGTGGGATAGGCAACGCGTCTGGGGTGTCCGAGAAGGGCGAAACCGTTGACCGAGGTCTCCAGATAACATGATAAAGCTCATGTAAGTCCTTCGTATACATTAGTCCACCTCCAACGTGCCAGATCTTGACCCCATTGTCGACACGAAGTCGAGGACTCGTTGTCGCAGTTAGGATAAACTGGCCATCAGGACTCCACTCGCAGACACTTGCATTACTAGCCTCAATTGCGCAGATTTTGGTGTGATCCTTTTCTAAGTCATACACGTCCATTTGGCCAGCTAGATTGCCAAAGCCTGCAACAAGGACGAGTCTTCCGTTGGGCGAGAATAATATTGTGTTACGTGGACTAAGGGGGAATGTATAGGTCGCTTTGGCCTCAGTGTTGAATAGAGTCGTCTTCGCGGGCATATAACCGTACACTACGCCAAATTCTTTAGAGTTTGGAGACCACGTCACGTCGTGAATAGGCCCATCTTTATCTGTGGCACGCATCAGCGAAAGATGACTTCCTTTTAGATTGCCAGAGAACCTACCAAGCCCTATCCTCGAATCAAAATCGCCCTCTGCGCTGAGTAGGTACAGTGTCGTCTCACCATAATAACTCTTCCCAGACTTGTCTACGTCGGTTTGCGCCAGGACTATCAGGCTCGTGCCATCTTTGTTCCATTTTAGCTGTACTTTATCGCCCTTGAAAAAATTCTTTTGTGACATTGGCGCAGTGAATTGGGGAACACCAAAGATCTTGACTGATGCTGGGAGGCCCTGCTGATGTTAGACACATTGGATCCTATTTCTGGACTACATCGTCTTACTTTGCGTTCCGGTGTAAACACAGCAATGGCGGGATTATGACCCGATGAAATGGCAAAGTCTGTAAGTCCCTCCACACGTAGCTTGTTCCAGACAATTGCAAGATCACTGCTCTGATAGAAGTGTACCTCATTGGTGACTGCCCGAGCACAGTAGAGCTCATCGTGGGTGTATTGCAGGTTCCACCCCGTTGCAGACTTTTGTACAAAGCGCCCGACGACGTTGCACTCACTCCCCGCGACATCCTGGCTGCCCTCAACCACTCGCCAAACCTTTAAATTCTTAGTCGCATCACCGCAGTCGTCTTTGGAGGGTCTTTCCCATGTGATGATATACGTTCCGAGGGGCGAAAAGCCGATCTCGAACACGTTCTGCGTTGGCAAGATAGCGGCCGCGGCTCCCGTCGATGTCTCTGCTACTGTTACCCTATGATTTCGTCGGTCAGCAATGGATCGCAAGTTTGACCTTGAGCTTCGCTGTACCTGTCTGGCAACGCCCAGGCAAAATACCGCCCGCACCCGGAGTAAGCGCAGCATCTGATGTTACCCTCGGAACTTTGAGATTAGAGTCAGCCAATGGACACGGTCCGCTTTGGTCTCACAGCCTTTCAAGTCAGGTAATTGTGACACTTACGGTTCGAACCCCTGCAGTGCTTCGTATGTGGGCGGGCCTTGTATTATACCAACGTCTTTGGGCGTCCGATCTGGAAAGCACTGTGCATCAGCTCCGATCCCTTGTTCGACAATCACCTAAATGCTGATCGCAGCCGACCAGATATCTTCGGCGCGGATACCTACACGCAAATTGTGTTGGGCTGGCCATGACTAGTGAAAGTCACAGTCAGAGACACTCATCCAATCCTATGCCGACTATAGCAGGACGAGGGTGGCCGGCGCAAAGCAAAGGAACGACCGGAACAAAGATCACATCAATAATGAAGCTTTCCGTTGTGGAAGTTGCTTCCTATGATCGTGCTAGTCCCGAAAAAGGCTAGATCGCTTTGCGGCTTTTCTGATAGCACGCCCGCCCCGGGAAGTCGTATTTCTAAGTTTTTGGGCTTTGTCACTTTGTGTCTATCCGTTTCATTTGCCTTTAGGAATTAGGTAATTACTATTTTACACATATATATATATATACACCTTATAATATATATATACAAGTCTTGTGCCAAAGTTTTAGATATTTGAAAAAATATAGTTTTTAAAACTATTTAAAAATAGATTTTACTTTTTACTTTATACTGTTTAGGTTCTTTATTTTTTAAAAAAAAGAAGAAAATTTTCTATTTTCTATCTTAAGTAATTTATATAAAGAATTAGAATATATTATCTTTAGGAATAGTAGGCTAATTATAGACTATTCTCTTTTTTTTAACACTTAAAAATTAAAGATTTTCAAAGCTAAAAGCCTTTTTGAAGTAAAAATACTGGCAACCTGGACTTTTCGGTGCAGACCCTCTGCAGGATCCTTCCAACACCAATACACCAAGGATCCCTAGCAGAGGGTCCGTTTATGGAGACATTGTGGAAGTGCTCAGCTGTGGGTCTTGAATGACAGGACGCGACCAAAAGCCTTGAATAAAACCGCCGTTCAGAAACAAAAAAACCCCCAGAATGCCACATTTTGTGGGGAGGAAGTACTAATAAAACTTTCAGGAGACTGGGAAAAGCTCAATGAAGATTACCAGAATTTTCTTCTCGGACTCAGGAAATTCAAGGCAAGTTTGGATGCATCAGATGCTGTTCAAGTTCAAAGCGTTGGTGGTTCTGACTTTCGCGTGGTTTTCCCCCTTTTCACCCCTTGTCATAATCAAAGGCTGTTTTTACTCGTGCTTGCTCCTTTGACTGTGACTGTGGTGGAGCATTTGCGTGAATCGGTGCAGTTGTTCTTTCAAGGCCTTGTCCTCAGCTCAAGTGACAACGTCATATTCACATCATTATTTGAAAGGTGGGCCAATGACTTGCAGGTCTTATCTGAGGCGACTTAGGCAAAGAGCTACTTGCCTTCAAAAGAGAATTTCCCTAATGCTCTGCCCACGACTGGGCTACCCAACCCTTTCCCATTCATGTCATGCATAGTTTCGCCGATAATCCTCTCTGCTTGCTCCTGGCCACCCGTACCTGCGGATCTTGCACTGTCCAGTCTGCTCCTGGGTTTTGACTCCGTAGCGCTTGTGCTAGCCCAGTCTCCTCCGTTCATACTAGAATCCTCGACTCCTTCCATGGGACTTCCTGAACGCTCCGATCGCTGTTTTGTGTGCCTCGCCGCCATGGCGTTACCGAAACCGGACGGCCGAGCCAAGGTCGAAGTCGGTCCGCTGAGGCTGCTGCTAGCTGCCTCTCCAAAGCCAACCAGGCTCGCGTTGCCGTCGTCGCTTAGCCCCGTGCTACTGATACCGTCTTCAGCATCCTCACTCATTTTGTCGGCCGAGTCGGGCACACTTCCGCCAATGCTGCCTGTGGCCGAAGCACTACCGACAGTGCTTTTGTAAAGCAGGCCTCCATTGTCGAAGTACCCCTGTTGCTGCTGATTCTGGCCGTTTCCTTGCCCAACGTGCTGCTGAGCGCCCCGTAAAGTCGCAACACGCTCAAGACCAGCGAGCCGGGAGATTCTATCTGCTCGTTCCGCGTCTAGGGTGTTGGTGGAAGAATCTGAGGCTGAGGACATGTTGTGCGCATGCCCGTATGATCGTATTTTGCCCCGCTCTCCCTCCTTGATAGCAACCGTGCTCAGTTGGCTGATTCCTGAATTTGGGGTACCTCTATCTTAGTCAGTAAGAGAAGCAAGCCGTGCCATCTATCGAACGCTTACGGGCCAAAATCGGAAGGTGTGTCTGAAGGCGGGGGCGGGAGATTTAAGAGGTGAGGGCCGGTCATAGCGGTCATCGTTCAGGATTATCTAACAAAATCGTGCGCAATGCTTCACTTTGGGTCGACCTTCCTTCATACGGATTTGCAATGAGGCTCTCCTCTGAGAAGTCGAAAGCTAAGTTGGACCCGAGCAGCCTCTTCGTTTTCTCTTCAATGAATAAAAGCGTGAGAAGGAAGGAATCGGGGAAAGGATCGATCGTTAAAACCAAGGTCATAAAACGCTTTGTGTTGTGAGGTTCTTTGTTGAATAGAATTGGTGACTGACCTGCTAGCCCTGGTTGATTGATTGATTGATTGATTGATTGATTATGTCATTGTAGTCGCCGTGAGGCACAGGCTATAATTGGCCTAGGACTAGTGTCTATTTAATATAAAAGCGGACTAAGGAGCATAACAAGGCATATTTAAAGTTATTATTTCTAATAGAAGTTTATAAACTAGTTTACTTTATACTTTAATTACTGCTTAGCTTTTAAGCTAAATAATAGTTTTATTTAAACTTTTAAAGTATTTATAAACCTATAAACCTTAACTCCTGCCGCTATCCTATACCCTTGCCTTTATTAAGATTAAAAACCTATAATAGTACTAGCGCTTAAAACTCCTATTAAAGCTCTTTATTAATTATATTTATAGGTTAGCTAAGCTTACTAACTAGCCTAAAAACTCTAAATAAAAATAAAAATAAAAATAAAATATATTAAGTCTATTAAAGTATTATTATATATTATTAAAAAGTATAGTAAACTATTATAGCTTATACTTAAAATATATTTAGTTACTTAGTTTACTATAACTAAAAGTTATATAAAAGAAAATCTTAATATTAATTATTTTTTTATCCCTTTTTTAAAAGATATAAGTTAATATAAATCTTAATATAAAATATAAAATAAAACTTATATAAAAAGGGCCCTTTTTTACTAAGGGGCTTATAATATTTATTAGACTTTTTAATTTAATAATTATTATTAAAAAGAATTTAAAAAACTAATTTATTAAAAGAATTTAGTAGCTATTTTAATTATATTAAAATTACTAAGAAAATAAGTTATATTTATATTATTTAATTTTAAAACCTTTTATTACTCCTCTATAAAAACTACCTTAAAATAATATTAGAAATTTTCTAGAAATTATCTAGTAAGGGTTATTATTATATAAAGGATAATAAATAGCTTATATTTTATTTAAATAATATTTATATATTATATTAAGATATATAGATTAAATATATAATAGAAAAAAATAAAATAATTTTTAATATAATTTATATTTAATTATATATAATAGAGATATTTTATATACTAGCTTAATTTTAATTACTTTTTAATATACTATTTAATAATAATAAATAAATACTTAGTATATATATTAAAGTAGCTTATATAAGTATAAAAGTCTAATAGTAATTATAAATAAATATAATTTTAAAAGATAATTAATACTTCTTAAATTTATAGTTATATTAAATATATATAAAATAAGATAATAATTATAATTATTATAGACTATAATATATAATAATATTATACTAAGTATAGATTAACTATTAAAACTATATTAAGACTTTTTTAATATTTTATTATATATAATATTTATTTAATAATATCTTAATAATATATAGATAACTTATACTTTCCCTTCCCTATATATATATTTATACCTATTTACTATATAATATATTCTATAATATTTATTATTATAATAAATATTCTTTTTCTTAAAAATAAAATAATATAGTTCTTTAAAGGATTATTTTTTAGTATTCTATATAAGTTATTTAAAATAATATTTATATTACTATTAAATATCTATAATCTAAGATATATAGAGTATATAATTATTAAGAAATATATTAAAGCTTATAATCTACTTATCTATAACCTAAGCTTAGAAATAAAAATACTTCTATAGAGTATATATTAATAGGAAGAATTAAGAGGAAATATAATAATATAGAGTTTATATTTATCTCTTTAATAGTATAACTTATAATTTTTATATTTAAGTTATTTTATTTTTATATATAGCTACTTATTCTTTATTATATATTAAACTATTCTTTATATAGTTATTTTCTTCTATAGTTATATTATATTATATTAAGTTTTTTAGTCCTAGCTTTAATCTTATAGTATTATAGTCTTCTTTATACTTTCTTTAATATATAATAACTTTAAATAATAGTAATAGTAAGTCAAGTACTAGATAGTAGCTTATATAGAGCAAATAAGGGGGTAATAGAAAAAAGGGGGGAAATAATAAAAATAGTAAAAAATTATAAAGTGTTAGCGGGAGGGTTAGTAGGAGAATTAAGAAATAATATAGAGTAGTAGTATAATAGTTATTTAATATATATATAATTAAAATTATTATTTAAGTATTTAATTTTAGCTTTTCTTCTTAATATTTATATTATTATTTTCTTTTATATAAAGTTATTAATATCTATATCTTTAAAGTTAGTTAAGTTTTTTATAGTTTTTATTTATATTAATATTTTTTTATATATAAACTTGCTTGTCTTTAAATTAAACTTATCTACTATTTAATCCCTTATTATTTTTATTTTATATATAAAATTAATAAATAATTCTAAAAAGTATATTAACTATTATATAAAAAGAATTAGAAATATAACTTATAAAAGAAAAAGGTTTAATAATTCTTTTCTTATTTTTTATAAAAAGAATATTAATTAATTTAATAATAAAATTAAAAATATATATAAAATTTAAAATAAAATATTTCTTTTATATAATTTCTATAATTTTATATATATTTTATAATTTTTTAAAGTTAATATCTATACTCTTTTACTTTTTAATTTTCTCCTTTATATTATTAATTAATATTATTTTAAAAATAATATCTTAGAAAAAAGTATTTATATTTATATACTTTATTATATTTATTTTCTAATTAGACTTATAGTAACGGAATTTATACTTTACTTTAGTATATTCCTAACTTATATTCTTAATTATTAATATAAAAATTTTTTTTAATAATATTGTCCTTATATTTGAAATTAAAATACTTTAGGTAGTATATTCTATATTCTTATATTAAAATATTAAATACTATAGCTAGGCTTATAATATATATTAATATTAATATTGCAAGCGTAGTATTAGTTATTAAAGGTATAGGGGGGAGTTTTCTTAATAGCCTTATTCTTTTCTTTAGTTTTTTCTTTAATTAAGATTTTATTAATCTTATTTATAAAAAGGGTTAACTTTAATTATATATCTTATTAATAAAATATAGTTATAAATATTTAAAAGTACTTATAATCCTATAAATTTTACTTAGCGTTTTATTAATATTACTTTAGTCTTTATATTTATTATTATCTTTAAATTTAGCTAACGCCTTTTATTTATAACTAGTAGGTATAACTATTAATACTTTATATACTTTTTTCTTATTTAATTTTAATAATAATATAATATATTTTTTTAATAAACTAGATACTTTAGAATATAGCTTTTTAATAAAAGGATTTTATAAGGAATACTTTTTTTTAATAGTATTATCTTAATTAAAGAGATATTAGTAGCGATAATAAGAAGTCTATTATAGCCTAAAATAATAATAATAAAATCTTATAAAATAAAAGATAATAAGAATATTATTATAAAAGTAAAAAAATATATAATAGAAGTAAAGTCTAAAAAATAAATACTATAAAAAGTAAATAAAAAAAATAGGAAGGTAGGGTATAAAGTAAATATACCCCTTATATAATTTAGGTAGAACTTTAAGAATTAGACTTAGAAAAAAAAAAGCTAAAAAAAAAATAAAATTTTTCTATTCTTCTTATAAGGAATTAATTTTATTATTCTAAATATAAAAATACTATAATAACTAAGTATATAATAATTATAATACCTTAGTTTTAAAAAGCTATAATAAAAGCCTATATTATTTATAAGTATTAAAATATACCTTAAAACTTTTATATTAATCCTATAATTTTTAAATTAAAAAAAAAAATCTTAAGAAAAATATTATAATAATATATAGTATTAAGTTTTCTTTCTTTTTTAATCCCCTTAAAAACTTTTCTTTAAAAATCTAAATATCTCTTAAAGCTAAAAAAGTATAAAAATAATATTATATTAAAGATTTTTTAAGTTTCCTAAGTCTCTTTAAGTTTTTTCCTAGCGTAGTCTACTTTAACTTTAGAAACTAGGGGGCGAATTTTTGCACTTTATAATATTTTAAGTTTTATTACTTTTAAGCTCTTTTAACTAGTATTATAAATCTTTAAAAAATAAAAAATTATAAGTTTTATTAAAAATAATATAATAGTTTTTAAGCTATACTATAAAAAAAATAAAAATACTTTAGTAATTAAGTATAATTATAATACTAGGATATATATATATAGCCTATTTTATAAAAATATAGACTATAAGATTAGCGGGTAGTATAAAGCTATTTCTAAATTTTTAATTCTATATTTTATATTTTTAATTTTAATATAATAAAATTAGCGCTATTTTAGTATTTCTAAGCTTCTTTCCTAATAATACTTAACTTAGTAGCATTAGGAATAGTATTATATTATTTACTATTTATAAAGAATTAAATATATCTTATATATACTTTTCCTTAAAAATTAAAATTATTTTTATATATATCTAGTATATATATTACGCTAAGTATTAATTTGTAGCTCTACTTTAAAAGGTAATAAATCTTTCTTTAATCTACTTATTACTTATATACCTTTTATTTACTATTAATTAATTTTTTTTTTCTTATTATATTAAAATTATTATTTTTTAAATTTAGTTAGAATATACCCCCTATTTTTCTTTAAGTTATAAGCTAGAATAGTAATTTTATTTTATTTATTATATAAATTTTTATAGTTTATATTACTTTTTTTATATTTATTAATATTATACTATATTTATATTTATTTATATTAAAAGTATTTAATTCTTTATATTTAAAAGCTTTTATTATTTTTTCTAAGTTAATAAGCTTTTTATTTTTTT